ATATTCATAAAATTTCGTAAGATGCCAAGAAATAAACACAAAAGAAACTGAGAACATGTTGCTGTAGATCATTGACTTTTTCATTGAGTGGTGGCTCCTAAAGGAGCCATTTGTGTCTTCGAGTGTTTATCAGTGAATCTTGCTCTCCAAGAGTTCTTTCAAGTGATTAATTTTTGCTTTACTCGAACAACTAAACTCCATTCTCCATTCCTCTGCACAGCTGTTTGCAATGATGTCTGCAGCCAGTCACTTCCATGCATATCTTTCCGCCACGGGCAATAAAGTACCACAAAATTTGCAAGTACTCGCGAGGTAAATGGCGGACTGTTTTGTTGTTTTATACTACCTTCATGGCAAGTTTGTCGACTGCATTATCAGGCTCCTGTTTTTCATGAAGTTTTTTGCCTATTGCGGGTTTGCAAACATCTTTATACAAGTGGTATCGCTGAACAGCTGAGTCAAAAGTAAATTTCTCCATGTTGGAACTGCAATGATGCAAACAATAATGCTCTTTGTAGTTTATTTGACCCAGTCCCCGAATCAGATCTATCCACTCTACTGAAACTTCAAACTGTATTGTTTTTGTTTTTCTTTCCAAACTCTGTGCTTCCAAATCGGGGGTATGGCTTACACGTGGACGTTTACGGTACCCTTTAGAGCTGAAAACTAATCTAAAAAAAATTCTCCCAGAATTCTCTTCCTTTCTCATTAGTCAACATAATTACAACTAACATATACATGTTTTCACCAGTTGAAGATTAATTAAGCAAAAATATTACAACTGTTTGTGTGGAGGGTTTAATAAATTACCTGCTGTTGTACATAAGAACTGTGCCATGATTTGCAGACCTCTGTTCAGGATTCATTGCTTAAGTGTTTGCCTGCGAACGAGCAATCAGAGCTGTTGTTAGAAGCAGGTAGGTATTGCTGTTTTATACTTGCTATAGCTTATTGTTTAATCTTGGCATCTTTATCCTCTTTTCCATCTCCTATCCTCTTTTCCTTTTCATCTTTTCCTTTTCATCTCTTTTTTTTCAGAGCCATGCTCCTCCTGTCTATTTCTTTCTCTTTTTTTTTTACCCTTCCCTTTCTCTTCATATTATGTGAGTATGCATTCACACATTTAAATTTTACCTCTCACATTTTCCTCTCTGTGTAATTGTCCTATCTCCCTTTCCATTCTTGTCTTCTTTCCTTATGGTCTCCCTTAGTCACCTTCCTGCTTGTTCACTTTTCTTTCTGCCTTCCCCTTTCTATTCCTCCCTAAACCATACATGCACCTTCCCCCTTTTTCTTCCCATTCCCTCTGTTTTCTCACTCCCTGTCACTGTCCCTCTCTTTCTTTCTTATTTCACCCCTTTATTTTCCTCCATTCCACTCATCATTTACATCTAAGTACATTTGTCCACCCTCATATCCTTCTATTCCTTTACTGCTTATTGTATCTGGATTAGTGTATCTTCTTTTCCTCAAAGCTTTACAATTATCAAAGGCTACATGCACTTGTAGTAATGTCTAGATGGTTTTCTACATTGTTTATATTACAGCAGAAATGGTTACAGAACTCTTAGAGACCCTGAAAGACAAACTTACAGGCTCATCAAGTGGTTATGATTCAAGCCCATCCAGTCCAAGTTGTGATTGAGATTGTCACTATGACAGTTGTGGAAGCTATTATAATGAAGGTTGTGATGGGTGTTATGAATGTTATCACTATCACGAGGAAAGGTCGTACAGTTTTGGATATTGGCCTTAAGGTGGTATGCATCTGTCAAGGTACAGTTTACAGATTTCTTAATGGGCACTAAAATTTGCCTCCCTCTCATATTTGGGAGGCATCAGGCTTAAATATCATCAAAAACTAAATCTTTCAGGCTTTTTTCCTGAAATTTCTTTAGCTGTGGTTTAACTGTTAAGATGACTTTGTTATTTGTATAGAAATCAAATCAAAGTGATACATGAAAATACGTTTATGTCATCCTAGACTGTAGAATGCAAGATCCAGTTGATAGTAATCGGTTATATCATGATGAAATAAAATAGAATGAATTTAAAGTGTGACTTATGAAGTATTCAAGAACCTCTTCCCACATTTAAGTAGTAATAATAATAATAATAATAATAGTAATAATAATAGTAATAATAATAATAATAATAATAATAATAAAGGTCTTAAGAAATATTGTACAAACAGACATGCAACAATTAACATAACAATAGAATGAATTAGGGAAAAATATTAGTTACTATTGAAAAGACATCTATCAATTAAAACTGATTTAAAATGACTTGTCTGAACCTTGGGTAGAATATAATTATGGGACGTAGTTCTCAACTGCCGTGTTCTCTGGGGAGGTAAGAGATCGCTCAACACAGTGTTAAGCGATATCTCACCTCTTGGAATGCCAATCCAATTCTATTCTTGGAATGCCAATCCAATAATTGGATTGGCATTCTTTAGAGATTTCATGAGACCAAGAAAGATTGACATGGAATCCATAGTTGTCGGCATAACTGAGAAATGAATAGCTCAAGAATGTGTATGTAGGTGTTGAGTGACAATATTTTTCAAAATGACCTGACATGATGCAGGATTGTGTGGTGACCATTCAACAAAGAATGTCAAAAGACCATTAATAAGAATCAGGAATAGGTTTGTAGTAGATAAATAAATATTAATGAAGTTACCATAATTTCAAAGTATGATGCAGTTTATCATTTGTGATAGATAAATGTATTTGTCAATTTTTCGTGACAGGTTTGACTTCAATCTCATTGACAATGTTGAGAGTACAGTGAAAAAAGCCAGAGAATATCTTGATGATAACCAGCCTGGACCAGCAGCTCTTGTGCTCGATGCTTTAACAGTTGTTCTTTTACCAGCAGACAGTGAGAGGTACGTGTATTACAAACTGTACTTACTGCCTCCTGGTTAGCTCAATTGGTTAGAGTGCCAGACTGTTGTGCGGGAGGTCAAGGGTTCAAGCCCCAACTGGACCAACACTCAAGGTCTTAAAATAACTCAGGAGAATGTGCTACCTTTCTATAATATTAAGAAATAGGGTGGGGGGGGGACAGGCCCCCAGACCCCCCTAGAGGGGAACAAGCAAAGCTTCTATGTATTTGTATTTGTATTTATAGATTTGTACAGTGTATAGGCGAG